AGTCGAGCGGAATGGTAGTTGCGATCAAGAATTGGGCGAAAGAGGCGAAAGTCATGGTTTGAGAGTTTATTGAGAGATAAATAGGAAAATGTGTAGAAATGATGTAAAAATAAAAACTATTTACAAATGAATGACTTTTTTGACTAGTCTTTGAATACTACTGTTGAGAGCGCGAGTCTCTCTTTCCACACGCGGTGTAGGGCTTCGCACACGAACCTGAAGGCAGACAATGGAAACAACATTTGAGCGAAATTAGTAGAATTTCTATAGGAATTGCATACAAACTGTACCATAGGTTTAAAATGTTTTGTTTAGTTTTATTTCTAATCTCTTTTACTCATATCTCTCGACAAATAATATATGAAACAAACCGGAACTGCGCCGACGTCTGGATGAGCATTGCCCGCTGTTCGCGCATTTCGCGCACCAGATCCAGCGCGTGGATCGCCTCCGAGGCCTCCATCAGACACAGCGCCGTCTCCATGAGAATGAGAACTCCCGTCCGTCCGATGCCGGCGCTGGGGTTGGCAGTGGTGGCAGTGAGAGAGGGGTTGGCGGCAAACGACAAAATGGTCTTACCTGCAGTGCACGACGAACGGGTGGTCCGGGAATTCCGTTCGGAGGCGACGAACGGCGAAAATGAGTTCGAGGAAGTCGTTGTGTTTGTCGGGCACTCCGTGGTCGGGCCAGGCCAGGTACTGGAGGTGACGCACGAGTCGCTCCTCCGAAGTCTACGAGAGGGCGAGAGTGAGATGAAAGACACGCAAACGGCGCGAAAACACACCTTTTGGTCGCAGAGCCGGAAGTGACGCTCTGTCGTCGCCGAGTCGTCGCTCTGGAAGACGAGACGCACGCGCAGAGCGCCGAACACCGAGAGTTCGTCATCGGCTTCGGGCCAATACTTGTGGCACTTTTTGCGGCCCTTTTCCTCGAGAGGGGTCACCATCACGACGAGAGGGCAGTTCTGCTCCCAAACCATTTGCCAGAAGTCTTCAGTGGTCTCCTGGAGGGGTCCCTGAGTGGCGATGTATCTGAAGAGAGGGAACGGGAGGTTAGAGTTTGCGGTCGGCAATAGAGGGCGCTTTTCACCGATTGATTTGTTGCGGCGCTTGCATTGTGACGAACGACGCGTTGATGTAATCGCCGGTCAGAGAGTCGTTGAGAACGACACGCGTGGAGTCGTCTGCAGACAGAGAGATGACGTCAGAGGAGGGCAGAGACACGTGACTACTCACAGGGCGAGATGTCGCGGTAGCGGTTCTTCGAGAGGTTGTCGGAGTGACGCGCGCACGACATGGACTCTCCGTTCTTCTTGCGGTTCAGTTGCTGTCCAGAGGAAGGGATTGTTAATCGAGTGAAAGAGTGATTCAGAGAGAACTCACTTCGAACTGAAGGACAAGACTTCCGCTTTCGAGTCCTTCTTCTAAGAGAGCCATCGATTCGGACAAAGCGTCCAAAACTTCCGGTCGAGAAGTGGGCGACGCGTCGGCCGGAATGTACTGAAAGGCCGGCTCTTCGGGCAGAAGGGCGTCGCGCGCGTACACTGAGGAAAGGGAGACGCGATTAGAGCAGTGGAAAGGCGGGCAAAGAGCGCACCGTTCGGTCGGATTTGGAGCACGAGCTGCGCGTCGGGTCCGGAGTCGCGCGTCGAGCGGATCAGTTGGACGATCTGTTCGTGGGAAAGGCCCGTGACGTCAGAGCCGTTGATTGTCATGACCTGATCGCCTTCGCGCAGTCGCGGACTCGCGTTGTCTGCGGGTGTGTTGGGCGCGACACGTGACACGAGAACGGGACAGTTCTGGTCGTGACCGCCCTTCACGTTGAATCCGAAGCGGCCGTCGGCGTCGGGCGCCATGTGAATGGCCACCAAATGGACGGGCGACGAGTCGTCGGACAGAGCGGCCGAAAGTCGGTTTTCAGCCGAGTCTTTGTCGATGAAAGGCAAGGACTTGAGAGACGGGCAGAAGGCCGAAGAGCTGCGGAGGAAAAGGCAATAGAATGGGTGAACACGTAATCCGAGGACAGACCTGTTGAGCGATAGCCAGGCGCTTTTGGCGGGAGATTCGGTGCTCTGGACGCGCGCAGTCTTGGGGTCGCCGTTGTGGTGGAGGATTGCGCGCGAAGACAGCATCAGATTATTGATGTGCGGAATGGGAACCGTTTGGC